GGCTGCGATTCCTCTGGGGGGGGGGGGGGGGGGGGAGCTTGATCTTATGTAACTGGCTGGCTAAGCTCATAAGAGTTTTGCAGTGCACGTATAATGCAAGGAAGGCATAGAAAAACCATCAGCAAAAGCATTACCAGGCCAGGAAATGTCACTACTAGTCCTTTAACCTTAGTGAAGGATGGGATAGCAGTCTTTGCCACTTCAGAGTCCAGAGGTGGGGATTGTTCTAATCCAGCTATTTGCCTGTGGGGTTGGAAAAGATCTAAACTGGAAGCATAATAAAAGGTGGTTGTTTAACAATAAGTATGGATTCAATGCTGCTATACAAGCAATTAGTAAAAACAATCAAAGCAGGTAACATTAAAAATAATTATTAACCAGTCCATACATAATGACATAGGGTGGTGATCAAAAATGAAGGTCAGGCCACCAGGTCGAAGGGACAGCTTCTCTTGAGGTGCTATTGATGATTTCTGCATTGCCAGCGCTGATCACTGCTCAGGTCACCCGTTGAGGTAGATGCAGATTCCATAGGGCCATTGCCAGGATTGGGAGGGTCAGGACAGCCAACAGCTGGAGTATCGCCGTCTGCAATTGTTAGAGAACACAAGAGCTTCTCAAGGGCTGGTTGCCCTTGGGGATGGGTAGTAGTTATCTTTTTGGCTTTTCTCTTTTAAACACAGCCTTGGCCACCATGGCCGTTTTTCTTTTCTTGTTGGTTAGTTTATCCATCCTCCTGTATAGAGGAGATGGGTAAAAACTTAAGGTTCCTGGCAGGGATCCAAATGGGAGCTGTCTCCCCTATGGGAAAAAAACGCATCCAAATCCCCTGCCCATAGTAACTAGGGGCTCAGGTCCTCTCCATTGTTGTGTCAGGGGGTCCTTCCACCTGACTTTCACTTGGGGCTTAGGGTTTAGTTGTCCCCAGTGCTTCTGAAATCTGGATTCAGTTGCCCCTTTTGAAAAATTTAAAAGGTTAGAAAAAAAAAAAAAACTAATATCAATCACAACCAAGGTATAGCCAGGGCATGCCTCTTAGGGGCGTTCCTACTAGCTCCATCCTTTCATTTAGGTCTTGGAGCAACCGCCAAGCCCCGGAGGGTTTTTGAATAACAAATACGGGTGTGTTCCAAGGACTTATAGAAGGGCGCAGGGCGCACAAGCCTGAGGTTTATCTGTTCCTCCACCAGAAGGGAAGGCTACAAGTTTACATTGGGTCAATGGCCACTGCTCCACCCAGAGTGGGCTTCCAGTCTTCCGCTTAATGGGAGGTACTGGGGGGGGGGGGGGGAGCAGTGGCCTTTAGGATTGGAGGTGCACCTGAGCGGGTCCCCTATGTCCTTCTCTGTAATTATGAAAGTTAAAAAAATCCTTTTCCTTAACTCCCTCTAGATCCTGTTTAAGCCTTTGTGCTTCTTCCCCATCCAGGATATCATCATAGGATGCTCGATGGTCTGTAGTGACCACGGCATCCATTTGTCTTAGCATGTCTTGCCCTAGTAAATTGGCAGTGAGGTTCTTTGCCACTAAAGGGCGTATCTTTCCCTGTTCTCCATCTGGGCTAGTCCATGTCATAAGGGCAACCGTCTTTTTGGACTGGGAGTTACCCCCTACCCCCAATATCGGGGGCCCAGGTGCAAGCTTCCAGTCCAAGGGCACTTCCTCCTCCCTGAGTATGGTTCGGTCTGCCCCGGTGTCAATTAAGCAGTGAAACCTCTTTCCATCTATGAGAATACTCATTTTAGGGCGGAGTCCGTCCACCAGGGCCTGGGTCGCCCGGCCGCGAGGCTGCCTGGGCCTCACAGCAGCAGAGGGGGTTCCTCCTTGAGTTAACGGGGCTGGAGGGTGCCCCTCCCCAAGTTTAAAGGCTTCCCATCTAAATCAAACTTGGATCGACAATCCTTTTTCCAATGGTATCCCTTCCTGCACCTGGGGCAGGGCGTAGGGGGCAGTTTGGCCCCCCCGGGCCGGTTGGCGGGGGATTGTTGTGAACAGTCCCTCTTAAAGTGCCCCTCCTGCCCGCATTTAAAACAAGTCCCCCTCCCCGATGGTCTTGGGGTTCCTCGACCCTGGGCTGCCAGCGCCTGGGTAATAGCCTTAGTCATTGCAGACGCCTGAGCCTGGAAAGCTAAAGCTAGTGATTGGGACAGGTGCTGTGGCGTTCCCACATCCTGCGAGGCCACCACCCATCTGCTCAGGGAACTCTCTCTCAATCCCTTGCAGGCCGTGCGGTGGTCTGCATTCATCCCTTCCCAGACCAGCAGCTTTACAAACTGATCTCGGAGGTTCCCTGCTGGCAGCTTGCGGTGAACGATCTGTTGGACTCGGTCTATGAAATCAGGTAGAGGCTCACCCAGTTTTTGTCTCACTTCTGCTATGGGGGACTCAGTGGGCCCATCATCCAGTTTGTACCATGCGGCAAGTCCTGCCTGCCTCACCTGGTCACGGTACGGGCCAGGTATTGCGGCCTGTTGGACGCCGGTGGAGTAGGCTTCCCCCGTCCCTGTTAACATGGCATAAGTAATAGGTATCGCGGGTTGAGCCTGCCAGTTTTTCTCCGCTTGCACTCTGCATTCCTCCTTAAAGAAAGCATGCCATTTAATAAACTGAGAACTAGTAAGGACGGCTTTGGCCACATCCAGCCAGTCCTTAGGGACACACAGGTGATAAGCAATGTCCTGTAACAGGGTCTGGGCCCAAGGAGAGTTCGGGCCATCCTCCGCCACCGCCTTGCGGAGCTCTTTAAGATCCTTAGCTTTCCATGGAGACCATTCCAAGGGCCTGTTAGCTCCTGGTGCCAGATTGACTGGTGGCCTAGAGTCTGGGCTCTCGGGTGGCCCTTCCCTTCCAGGGTAGGTCTCCGAGGAGGTTACTTCCCCGGCCCTCGGCCCCTCCATGGAAGGCTGGTAGGGGTCTGGGTCTTGCAAGTCCCTCTCGCAGGTCTCGTAGGGCGCCGTACCTCCCCTCCAACCGGGGGAATAGGGAGGGGGCCTAGGACCGTCAGGATCACCTGGGTCAGAGGGGTTAACTTTCACCCTCGTTTTGACTTCCACTGCGCGTGTTCCAGTGCGTTCTTGGTCGAATTTGACCCATTCCTTTTCCTTCTCACTTCCCAACTCCTCCTGTACTCCTTCTAGGCCTAATGTTGCCTCCTCCTCCTCCTCCTCCTTCTGTGAAATAGCATTACCCATACTAAGGGTTTCACTTACCCCGAGAGACCGCTTAGCCTCGGCCGGTATCTTTTCCTTTCGTGCCCCACGCTGGGCGCCAGATGTTGGATCTTCGTCCGTCCCACGAAAGACGGGCAGGGTCCGAGGAAAGGTAAGTGCGGCTGCTCACTGGTTCCCCAGCCACCCTCAGCCCGGGAGACAATCAGACACAGCGGGGAACCAATTCAAGCAGGTAGAAAACTTGTTCATTAGCAAAGAGCAGCCCTTCTTAAAGCCAAAAAGGGCGGTGGCATGGCAGGGGAGGAAGAGGAACCAATCACTGTCAAGGTCACACCCTATTTATGCACCTAAGCCTTCACGGGCTGGTTAGGCACTGAACGTAAGGTAAATTGGGCTCTGCCCACCCTACTCCCTCTCAGCGCCATCTTTGCTACCCACGTGCTCCGCACTTAGCCACTCCTACTCCATAAAATTTGAGTGTGAGAAAACATCGGAGGGGCTGGGAAGGTGGCTCAGTGGTAGAGCGCTTGCCTTGCATGCCTGAGGCTCAGGGTTCAATTCCTCAGCACCACATAAGCAAAACAAAACCAGAAGTGGTTGTGGCTCAAGTGGTAGAGCACAGACCTTGAGCTGAAGAGCCCCCATGACCAACAACCACCAAAAAACCAGCTGAATTACAGCATACACTGAAAAGGCAGTTGAAAGAAAATCAAAGATTGTATCTGAATAAGGTTCTAGGTAAAACCCTTTTCCCTCAATATAACAAGATGTAAGAAATGATTTTGGCCATCACAGACTTCTTCCTAAAACAGAGTACATAAGGCCTTTAAGAAGAGGGAATAGGGCTGGGAAGGTGGCTCAATGGTAGAGCGCTTGCCTTGCATGCATGAGGCCCTGGGTTCCATTCCTCAGAACCACATAAGCAGAAAAAAAAAAAAAAAAGGCCGGAAGTGGCGCTGTGGCTCAAGTGGTAGAGCACTCGCCTTGAGCTGAAGAGCTGAGGGACAGCGCCCAGGCCCAGAGTTCAGGCCCCACAACCGGACCAAATAGAAAGGCTAGGGGACTTAATTTTTGTTAAAGGAATGCTGAAAAGTTCCAATCCAAACTCACAGAGGTTAACACAGACTTCATGGGGGTCCTATAACCCATTTTTACCACATTTTTTCAAACGTTACAAATCATTCACAGTTGAGTGTTCACCACATCTTTATTAAGATAAAATACAAAATAGACACACCAGAGACAGACTTTCTGTTGGGCCACTGCAAGACAAGAACATGGGAACATTGATTTTGGCTGTCCTGAAGAATTAGATTTGCACTGCAGTTTAACTTTTCCATTAGCTGGCATCTGGACACCAGGTGTGTATCTAATCTGTGACAGGATTGGCCCAGCTGCCCTCCTACCTGCTGCCGAGGTGCTGGATTAGCATGGTGGTTTGGATGCTGGTCGGTCAGTTGATGTCTTCTGGTGTCAGTGACTTTTCCCCATCCCACTGGATCAATGTTACAAAAAGGTTCTCAGAAGCTTGAGGACCATCTTCATAATTTAGTCAAGGGACCTTCACGTTTCGCTCTCTGTAAATTTTAGTGATCCTGCTGGCTATGAAGATGAGGTGCACTGGATGGTGTCTAATCTTTTCTTTGTGTGCTAGCTCAGGGCCTGGGTGCTGTCTCTGAGCCTCTCTGTGTTCAAAGCTAGTGCTCTACCATCTGAGCTACAGAGCTCCTTCTGGCTTTTCCTGAACATGGCCTTTCCTGCCTGGGCTGGCTTCAAACTGCCATCCTCAGATCTCAGCCTCCTGCGTAGCTTCGATTACAGGCACGAGCCACCAGCGCCTGGTTTGTTTTTGCTTTTTTGAGAGAGGGTCTCCCTATGTGGCCCAGGCTGGCTTTGAACTTTCAGTTCCCCTACCTCAAGCTCTGTAGTATCAGAATTACAAGCATGCACCACCACACTCAGCTCTCAGAAGACACTTGAGAGGGTGCCAATGCTTCTTTCCACACCACTATCTCCAATCCCTTCCTTTTGTTTCTTACTGTGGAAAGGAATGAGATTACTTTGAGACTTCTGAAAGCTTTATTGAAGTCAGGCCCCAAGGGACAGGTCACGGTTTTTCTATCTATGAGGTTGCGGTGCATGCTGGACTGAACCCTGGACTACCTCCCCCGGCTAGTTACTGCTGGCCCAGGAAAGAGGCCATGGGGTCATCTGGCCTCTGACGTTTCATTCTGTAGGCCTCCATTTCCTCCTCCGTGGGCTCTCGAGTTTCATAGACACTGTTGTATGGCCGCTTTCTCTCGTCAATTTGTAAGATCTCCTTGACATGGAGTAGGCGGGCCTCCTCGGCGTTCAGTGCCTGGAGAGGGGAGAAGAACACATTCTATCTATCCCGTTTTTGATATGGAATCTACAGTTCCGCACCAAGCCCCGCACTGCCTGGAAGAGCTCGGGAGGGCTCCCTGTGAATCTGCTGCTCACTACTTGATTCAGGACATCTCACAGGACACAAAATGTTCCATGACACGTTTCGTCAGTGGAAAAGAAATGCGAGGCTCACTTTTTTCTGACACAAGCCCACAGCGGATGTGAGTGTTGTGATTCTGGATTTTCTCAAGGGTTTGCTGAGACTTAGAAATGGTGGGGCTAACCCGGGTACCGGTGGCTCACGCCTGTAATCTGAGTTACTCTGGAGGCTGAGATCTGAGGATTGGGGTTCAAAGCCAGCCCGGGTAGGAAAGTTTGCGAGATTCTGATCTCCAGTTAAACCACCAGAAAACCGGAAGTGGCACTGTGGTAGAGCACTAGCCTTGAGCTGAAGAGCTGAGGGACAGCGCCCAGGCCCAGAGTTCAAGCCCCATGACCAAAAAAAAAAAAAAAAAGGTGGGGGCTAGAAGGCCATTCCTACTGGGCAATGCGTCACAGCTCTAAAACACAGCTTTACAAAGCACATTCCTAGGGGGAGACAGGGAGAGCGGAGGGAAAAGCTGACACTGCCCCAGAAGAAAGGTACTCATTACCTGACTTATTAGGTGACTGTACGTCACCTTTATAGAAACAGTAACAAATAAAACTTAAAATAAACAAACAACAAAACACAAAGCACATGTCTTCAGGTGAGCACGAGCAATACTTATTCAGCACTGCAAGGAGGAGCCGGTGTCTAGACCACAACTCTCCTGGGATCCGCGCAGAGCCGAGCCAGGGGCAGGCGGGGCGAGATCACACAGGACTCTGTGTGACACGGATACTTCCTTACACACCTTCTTCAGCTTCTCCTGTTTCTTCTCTTCGTCATCGCTGTCAGAGCTGCTCTTCCGGTGCTTCTTCTTCTTTTTCTTCTTCTTCTTCTCTTCCTTTAGTTTTTCTTGGTGCATCTGCGGGAGAGGATGGCCGCCCAGGGCCGTTAGTACGGTAGCGAGCGCAAGCCTTGGCTCCTCCCTCAGAGGTCTGAGTTCAGAGCAGTGATTCGGATGGAACTCACCTCCACGAGCGTCTGTGGTTTCTTCACCGACTCTTTGCCAGTCTCATCACTTAGCACGCACTCCTCGGCGTTCTGTGTGACAGAGTCGTGTTACCCATCGTTAGACAGAAGGCAGAACAGGACACATGAGAAGAGGAGGCAATGATGCACGCGTCACACGAGAACTAGAGGACAGCTACTTACAGCAGTCTCCTTCCCAGCTTCTCCAGTGCAGTAGGAATACTTGAAGAATGAGTGACAGCATTTGTATCCCCATCGGCCTTCTTTCCAGTAAGATCCCCAAATGTGCTGTGGAGAGCCAAAAGGGGATTACTCACCAAGGAATCTGCAATGAAGTCGCTCGTGGACTCTTTATGGGCTCAGAAATTGACATGAGTATTCTAGTGATAATCTGGAAGAAATATGGGGATTCCAGGCCTAGGTAACAGAACGGGCCACATTCAAGTGTTGAGAAGCTGGCATTGTAGTTATAATATCTTGAGTTGTAATTCTCAAAGCCCGTGTCAAAACATAGCCTATTTGACTTCTCTTAAAAATTGAAAGGTAGGGGCTGGGAAGATGGCTCAGTGGTAGAGTGCTTGCCTTGCATGCATGAGGCCCTGGGTTCAATTCGCCAGCACCACATAAGCAAAAAGAAAAAAGCCGGAAGTGGCGCTGTGGCTCAAGTGGTAGAGCACTAGCCTTGAGCTGAAGAGCTGAGGGACAGCGCCCAGGCCCAGAGTTCAGGCCCCAGGCTTGGACCCTCCTCCCCCCCCCCCAAAAAAAAAAAAAATTGAAAGGTACCAGACTGTCCTGGGCCTATGTACTTTGCAATAGGTGACAGTTGCTGGACAGTGAAGGCTTCCTGTCACCCTGTTTTTACAACTTTCCCAGCTCTTTCAATTACCAGTGGCCTGGGTTGCTACAGGCTGATAGGTTTCTGATCCCTGAGTTAGAAAGTTACAGTATGATTACTTTATTTTCAGTAGGTCGTGGGGCTTGAACTCTGGGTCTGGGCGCTGTCCCTCAGTTCTTCAGCTCAAGGCTAAAGCTCTAATACTTGAGCCACAGCACAAATTCCAGCTTTTTTAGTTTATGTGGTGCAGAGGAATCGAACCCAGGGTCTCTTGCATGCAAGGCAAGCATTCTACCACTGAGCTACCTTCATAGCCCCCAGTTTGGTTACTTTAAGAGTATGATAAGCCGGGCGCCGGTAGCTCACACCTGTAATCCTAGCTACTCAGGAGGCTGAGATCTGAGGATCACGGTTCAAAGCCAACCCGGGCAGGAAAGTCCATGAGACTCTTATCTCCAATAAACCATTAGAAAACCGGACGTGGCACTGTGGCTCAAGCGGTAGAGCGCTCGCCTTGAGCTGAAGAGCTGAGGGACAGTGCCCAGGCCCAGAGTTCAAGCCCCATGACAAAAAAAAAAAAAAAAAAAAAGAGTATGATAAACAGAGCTAGGAGTTAGCTCAATGGTAGAGCATGTGTAGGCCCTGGATTCAATCCCCAGCACAAAACACTCAGCAAGTGACAATACTGCTTTATGATGTCACACAAAATGAAATATACTAACATCTACCACATATTCTTGCCAAAATGCTTAACTACATCAAGCCCAGACTGTGGGCCTCAATTCTTACCACACAGGGCACTGAGGAAAAGCTGTGATATTACTAGGGAATATTCAGGGATAAAATTTGAGACAGTGTACAGATAACTCTGGCCGGTAAATAAATGGTCACTGTCAACGAACAGAGAGATGGACAGAAAGAAAGATGCAGCCATCAAATCATGATCAAAAGAACAACCCAAATCAACTAGATTCTGACTGAAAAAAGAATCTATTCAAAGCATTTTGTATATATATATTTGTACCGGTACTGGGGCTTGAGCCCTGGGCTCTTTTTGTTCTAAGCTAGTGCTCTACCACTTGAACCATAGCTCCACTTTTGGCTTTTTGTGGATAATTGGAGATAAGAGTCTCTCATACCTTTCCTGCCCAGTCTGGCTTTGAACCTCAATCCTCAAATCTCAGCTTCCTGAGTAGCTAGGATTATAGGTGTGAGCCACTGGTACCCAGTTTGGGTGTATAGCTTTTAAAAAATAACAGGGTTAAATTAAGTTTTAAGGAATCAATAATTCCTGTGAAGCAAAGTAAGGGTAACCTGGCTCACTAAGAGAATATCCTTATTTTTTAGGAGATAGGTGATACGGTGTTTATGGGCAAAATGTCTACAATTTCTGAATGTTAACCAAATGCATAAATAAATAGGCTGTGTGCCTATTTAAAGGTGGCCCACGCCTTTAATCCTAGCTAAGTAGGAAGCTGAGATCTGAGGATTACTACTTTCATACACAAGCAAAAATGTCTGAAGTTGAAGTGTGGCTGAAGTGGTAGAACACCAGCTGTGAGTAAAAAAGCCGAGTGAGAGAGGCCCTGAGTTCAAGCCTCAGGACTAACACCAAAAAGGAAAAAAGCAAAGCAAAGCAAAGCAAAATGTGTGAAGTAAATCTATGGCACAATTCCTTTGATTCTAAGTGGGCACACCAGTGAACACAGTAGTTTTTTTTTTTTACATTTTCCTGTTTTTAGAAACATTTCGTAAGACAAGGTTAAAATGCTAAGAGAAACACAACCACTGTGGGTGGAGTGACATTCTCACGGGGAAGCCCAGGCCGAGCAAAGCCAGCGGGGACAGAGGCTCAGGACGCACCGTGTGGTTGTGGATCTTCACGTCCTCTTCATACTTGGAGCAGGCCACGGCCCGCTCCTGCCCCTTGATGACCGCCCCATGCCGTGAGTACTCCACGTAGTCTTCCGTCTGGGCTAAGAGCAACTCAGCTGGAGGAGCATCCAGATGTTCTTGGCCACCATACTGAAAGAACACGGACACTGTGAAGTACAGTTCCCAGCAAACACTCACACTCAAATCTCTCTGAAGGGGTTTTCTTCAGTCAGAAGGAGTAATTTTAGTATATTTAAGAAAAGGCTATGAAAAAAAGTGTTTCCCCCATTTCACAGGCAACTGAAAGACATTGCTAGGCACTAAGTTCTGCTATCCCTTGGCTTAGGACGTGGTGTTTTAGCAGAGCCTGCTTCTCCATTGCTTTGCCCAACAGCAAGTTAGCAAATGGATAAAGGCATCTGTGCGCTGGGTGTGGAGGTGGAACCCTGGGAATGTCATGCTAAAACTGAGCTCAAACCTCAATATTATCCAAAGGAAAAGAAAACAAGTCAAAAGCTGGGCTAGTGAACCGGAGGATGAGTAGTCACAGGAGGTGAGCGCTCCTTACGACAGCTTGCCTGCTTGCTAACTACTCTACACAGGGGCACCTTAGAGCACGTGGCCTGAGCTAAGCCGACGGGGCCAGGAGACTCAGCTGACTAAGGACTGTGAGAAATTATGTATCTTTCATTTACGCTGCTGAGTTCTGGGTTATTATGTTTTGCTGCTGAAGCTTTTACTGATAGAAAAAGTCTGACTAGGGGCTGGGAAGGTGGCTCAGTGGTAGAGCGCTTGCCTTGCATGCCTGAGGCCCTGGATTCGATTCCTCAGCACCACATAAGCAAAAAGAAAAAAGCCAGAAGTGGCGCTGTGGCTCAAGTGGTAGAGCGCTAGCCTTGAGCTGAAGAGCTGAGGGACAGAGCCCAGTTCAGGCCCCACAACCAGATTCTACCCCCTCCCCCGCAAAAAAAAAGAAAAAGAAAAAGAAAAAGTCTGACTAAGCTGACTAAGACTGAGGAAGGAAGAGACTCCTCATGCGTTCAATGGGGCTGGCTTTGTATTGTATTCCAAATGGAATCCCAATACTCACCAAGTGGCAATTTCTCTCTATGGAAAAGTCATTTTTGGGGAGCCCAGAAAACTCACCTTTTCCAGGATGCTTTCTTTCTGCTGTTCTTTGAAGTCTTCCTTCTTGACTTTGAAGGATTTATACAACAGCTCCAGCTTCGTGGGATCTGCCTGCAGGTGCACCTCCGAGCCCTTGTCATACGCCTCCCAGGCAAACACTAGAGTCAACACATCTTAATGAGGACCAAGCCACACTCACTGCCTGTTTCTTTAAAACAAGCTGTAAAAAGCAGTATGTCATTTCTATGAGCTGACAACAGAAAACTTAGCATGCAGCACACTTACACTGTGTCTGAGCCATGGAAATGGTATCTCCTGTGTATCTGACGAAGTTATCGCCTGCATAACTCACTCTGTGAATACAAAACCAAACCAAATAAGTCTCAGAGATGGGTTACTCTGTAAGGAAAGTAAATTTGTAAAAGAATCTAATTCCTGCTTATGGCTGGCTCAGAAAAGAACTTTTTCTTACTTTGAAATGTTAGTTCAACGTAGTACTTACTCATCTGGATTCTTCCCTGCATTGGCGTAGGGATTTTCTCTCATCGCTCTAGTTTTGGGATCATAGTAGGCAGAATTTGGATCTAAATTTCTCAAATACTAGAAAAAAAATGTTTAAGGACAGAATTAACATTTGCTTATTGAAAAAAAGAGTTCAGCTTCTAAGAGCTGGTCTTGACCTTGTGTGTGTATGTGTGTGCACATGCACACATGTACACTTGTAAGTACAAGTGAAGAGAGAATATCACTTTATCTTGGAATGACTGATGATATTACAGCAAATAAAACCTATACCCAATATAATAACCAGTAGGCTTGGAAGACTACTATTTTTCACATGTGTAGATTAGGTTGGCAAGACTTACTTTTGCAATATCTTCTCGAATCCTTAGGTTCCGGACTGTAATTCGCCTCTTAGAGTCAAAATTCTGTCCAGGCATGTCAATATCATCTGCATATTTATCTTCATCCTCATCTTCACTGTTGTGATCTTTTTCCTGAAAGAGCAAACCGGAGGATGGTAAGAACACTGGACAGCATTTAGGTCTTGTGGTTTTTTTCCACTTAATTCAACTTGTTTGTTTAACAACTACTTGAAAATGGTTGAAGTGGCTTGTGTGCACGCATGCAGACAGAATAACGAAGCCGGCTGCATCTGTTCAGGAAAGGGGAAGGAGCCAGGGAGAGTGGAGGAGGGGGAGAGAGCGGTTGGAATACATTCTATGTATGTGTGGAGATATCCTAATGGACGTCCCCCTCCTGTATATAACTAATGTATGCCAACAAAAAACTATTGTTATTATTACGATTACTCATTGAAAACTTAAAAAGTTAACGTATACCCAAACGAAGCACTTCATACCGTCTGAGAATTTGGTTCCTCTTCTCCCCACTGATGTTTTGGAGAATTCTGTATTGGAAAAGAAGGAAAACATAAGTTTATTCTACTTATTCTATGGATTGAGTACTACTAGAAAAATCTAACTGAACCATATAACTCTAACTGAACCGTCTATTTCTCAATCACAATGCGCACCAATGTTCTGGCTACAGAACGACTTTGTGAACAGTTTACCTTTGTGTCTACAAAGCCAGAACATTTCTACTCAATTTTCATTTATACGGAATTGTAACGACACAGAGTAACACAAGAGTAAGATGACCAAAGTGCTTGACAAACATTTCCATATGGTCATCTTCATGCACATGAGACCCCTAACACTTTAATAGATTTCTGTAAACCCAGACCAGAAACGTTACCAGGTCACATAGGTATTTAAAAGTATTCAGAACCAAAAACAAGCTTTATAAACTTTTGGCAATGCAGAGATCTACTTGGTGAAACAATACTGAGATTTATGGAGAGCCCAAAGTCCTTTTCAGAATGAAATACTTTTCTTCACAATTGTTCAGGGACTCCTCCCCCTCTTTCTTCTTTCCCTCTTCTCTGCTCGGCTCCACTCTCCCCCTCCTCCCCCCTTCTCTCTTTCTTTTGTGCCATCTTGGGGCTTAAACTCAGGGCTTGGGTGCTTAAGACTAACACTCTCTTGAGCCACAGCTCCACTTCGAGCTTGGCTTTTTAGTGGTTAAATGGAGATAGTCTCACTGGCTTTACTGCCTGGGTTGGCCTCAAACCACAATCCTCACAAGTATGAGCCACTGGTGCCTGGCATTCAGGATACTTTCAAAATCTACAAGGCTCTCTTTTTTTTTTGTCGGTCGTGGGGCTTGAACTCTGGGCCTGGGCGCTGTCCCTCTGCTCTTCAGCTCAAGGCGAGCGCTCTACCACTTGAGCTACAGCGCCACTTCCGGTTTCCTGGTGGTTTATTGGAGATAGGAGTCTCACGGTCTCTCCTGCCAGGGCTGGCTTTGAACCACGATCCTCAGATCTCAGCCTCCTGAGTAGCTAGGATTACAGGCGTGAGCCACCAGCGCCAGGCAGACAAGGCTCTCTTTAACAAGGTTTCAAGATTAAAAGGATAACTTGTGTATAGTATTTCTTGTTCCCTGAAATTGTTTCTAACTAGAGAGATACAAAATAAATTCCCGTTCTGAATTTCATTTTGTTGAAGACACTGAATATTTTGCATTGATAATTTTGATTACTTACAGCCTGTTCCACTAATTTTCCTGAGGCTAATTCTTCTTGTAATTTCTGGGCTTTCAGCGTTCGTTTTGCCTAAGGGGGGAAAATTACATTTTACTTAAAAATGTTCCAATGACTATTTGATTTTCATATGTTTAAAGCGAGTGGTATTAGTATTTTCAGACTAGATCACTGAACAAGAGATCAAATGCAGCCATAGGCCTATGACCTTCAAACTCATGTTTGAGGCAGGCATTAATGTAAGCTTGAAGGAGATGATAAAAGAATGAGACAAGCCACAGCCAAACAGGGCTACCTGGCTACTCACTGAGGACCTGTGCTATAGAAATGACAACGGCGTAACTGTCAAGTCGTCAAAAAACCGCCCCTCCCCCGAAACCCAGAGTTCCGCTCACCAGGTCAACTTTGGCGTACTCTTCCACGATTTTCATGTGTTCCTCTGGATTGTAGCCGTTCCAGCGATCTCTCTTCCCGTCATAGTCAAATGTGAGCTGAGGCTGGACGTGCTCATCTGGCGCTATGTTAGTCCCAGTAAACTTGGCCCCAACTCGTCTGGGTCTCTGGAAAGCATAAGAGTCCATTTTACCCTAAGTACCTGAGGCCCAGGAACTAAGCGGCCATTACACACTCGGGGACTTTTTAGAATCTGTTTACTTATCAAAAGTCTTCCACCAAAACAGTCTGATGTACTTTCACCCAGATTCATTTTTATTTAATTTGTGCCCACCTACGGGTTATCTTAGAGAAAGAGAAGTTCTCTGACAAGGGAGAGAGACGGCAGCGATCTGTAAAGCTCTTAGAGGTGTGCAGTACCTCAAAGCAGTCCTTCTTCTTGTGCGTCATGGCCCCGCAGTTCTCGCAGGCGCCTTTGCGGTACTTGGTGGTTATGGAATTCTGTCGAAGGGCAGAAAGAAAAACACAGCCGATGTTTTATTTCCTTACTCATCAAGTTACAAGTGACTTTGGCTCTCATGGTTATCTTATCTGCTGAGCCCATTTATTTGTTAAGAAGAAGACCGAATGCCAGGCACTGGTGGCTCAGGCCTATAATCCTAGCTACTTAGGAGGCTGAGATCTGAAGATCATGGTTCAGTCAGCCCAGGCAAGAAAATCCATGAGACTCTTACCTCCACCAGATTACCAAAAAGTTAGAAGTGGAGCTGTGGCTCACGTGTGAGTGCCTTGAGCAAAAGCGGCTCAGGGATGCTGTCTAGGTCCTGAGTTCAAGCCCCAGGACCAGCACAAGAAACCAAAACCAAAACCCAAAAGTACCTTCCTATGAAGACATATATAAGATGACTATGCAGGCCAGGCTGACCTTGGATTCACTATCTTCCTGCCTCAGCCTCCCAAGTGCCACACTCAGCTGAACACATACCTCTTTTACGCCCCTCTTGTACCATTCTCCAGATGAACTGAACTGCTTCTGTTTCTCGGGTTGTGGCCTCTGGTGCTTTAAGGTGGGTCTTTTCGATGGATCGATGTACCATGGTACTGAAGAAATATACTGAGGGATGTGTGGATTGATATCTCTGTAATAAAATTTAAAACAAAATATCTAAGAAAATCCTGAAAATAACAGTAATTACAAAGGCAGCGCGCAGAGAATCTAGGAACAGAAACACTGCAGTGGGATGAGAAAGACGATTATAGGCGCCATGCTGATAACGGAATAAAGGGCAAGGAAGAATGGAGAGGTGAATGGTACATGGAGGAGGTTCTCAAGGTGCTAATGACAGTGCTGTAACTAAGAGGAGGAGAGGAGGAGCACAGGAATGTGCTAGAAACTTACATCTATCAGGGCAAGAAGTCAAGAGGATGAATTAAAAGACAACTGATTAAAATAATCCTGTGGAGGTCTGTGGCTCAAGTGGTAGAGCGCTAGCCTTGAGCTAAAGAGCTGAGGGACAGCGCCCAGGCCCAGAGTTCAAGCCCCACGACTGACAAAAACATTGGGGCTCAGGGTAGACTGGGACAGCAGGAAGGAAGGATGAGAAAAACAACAACAGCTCTTTACTGTAGACTCTCTGACATTATTAAAACTTATGCTTACGTGCCTCATAAATAATAACAAAAATTCTGCAAATGGTAAGAATAGCTTGTTATCAAAGCACAGGATGAGAACTTGGTAACCTTAATAAAAGAAGACTCTGGATTTGATAACCTTGTAAAGCAGATAAGAATCTGGATTTTTGAACAAACTGAACCGGTAAAAAATTAAAAGTACTTACTTTCCTTCTTCATCCACTTCTGCAGGAGCATTACCCAGCTTCCGCTGTTCCTCTAGCTCCTTCTTCTTCCTCCAGTCCTCTCGAGTCATCTTCTTTGGTTCCTCTAAACTCAGTTCTTTGGACCCCGACAGGGGCGTGGCATTAACTGAATCCACAGCTGCCGACGACATGGTGAACTGGCTTCTGAGAAAAGAAAGAACTGGTTTATAGTTTAAAAAAAAAGGGGGGGGGGAGCTGGGAAGGTGGCTCAGTGGTAGAGTGCTTGTCTTGCATGTATGAGGCCCTGGGTTCGATTCCTTAGCACCACATAAGCAGAAAAAGTCGGAAGTGGTGCTGTGGCTCAAGTGGTAGAGTGCTAGCCTTGAGCTGAAGAGCTGTGGGGCAGGGCCCAGGCTGAGTTCAAGACCCACAACCCACAACCCACAGACACAGAAACAGACACACACAGAAACGAATGGCAACAACATGTCAGTTTTATGTTTTCCTGTACCTATATTAAAACAATAGAATGTGTCAGGTAGGTGGTACACACAATCCTGGTCCTCAGGAGGCTGGAGCAGGAGAATGGGGAGTTTCAGGCTTGTCTGGGGCTACATAATGAGTTTGAGGCCTGCTTGACTTAAATAGACCCTGTTGCAAATAAACAAAAGACAGAGAGAGAGAAAAAAAAAGGTAAAATTATGCTTACACAATTTTACTTAACCTAATAGATTCAACGAGTTATAATGTCAAATTCCAACCCACATTACAAAAGATCAGGGGCTGTGAAATTGGCTTAGTGGTAGAATGCTTGCCTGGCATGTATGAAGCCCAGGGTTCGAGTCCTCAGTACCACATACACAGAAAAAGGCGGAAGCAGCGCTGTGGTTCAAGTGGTAGAGTGCTCACCTTGAGCAAAAGTTCAGGTACAGGGCCCAGGCCTTGAGTTCAAGCCCCAGAACTGGCCACACACACACACACACACACACACACACACACACACACACACACACACACACACACACACACACACACACACACCCCAGAGCTGGTGCCAGGAGCTCACGCAGGTAATCCTAGTTATTCAGGAGGCTGAGATCTGAGGATCGCGGTTCGAAGCCATCCGCCAGCTAAGTCCATGAGCCTCCTATCTCGGATAAACCACGACCAACAACAAAAAAACCCTCCCACAAAACACGAAACCGAAGCCGGAACTGGCGCTGTGGCTGGGGGGGGAGGGCGCGCTAACCCTGAGCACAACACCCAGGGGCAGTGCCCGGGCCCTGGATTCCAACCCCAAACCCGCCGAAAACCAGTGGGTACGGCCCCCCCCCCCCCCCAGGACTCCGATCCCCGGGATCACAAGCTCTCGAGGGAGACTCGCGTCGGGCTTCCCGGCAGGCACAGGCCGGGCCCGCGCGGGGCGCCGTCCGCGCTCTCCTCGCCCCTGCAGGGAGTCTCGGGGCTCCCGGGCGTTCCCCCACCCCAGTACCGCCACCCCCAACTCCTCGGCACCCTTCCTCACCCAGTCGGGAGCTCCCCACGCAACCGCGCGCCGACAGACCAGTAAACCCAGCCGCCGATGTTTACTTCCGGCTCCCCGGCCTTCTCCCAGCAACCACTGCGACAGCTTTCGGACGAGCGACGCGTGCGCACTAACGAGCACTCGAGGCGCTCACGCTCTTTGGCTCCGGAGGTATCGCGAGATTTGGGCAGCCGGTCAGCGGAGTGGTTTACGTCTCTCCGGGCTGTCGTTTTTTTTTTTTTAAAGTTTTACGCCTTTGTTGTGGTCTTTTACGTCGTCGCTGCTTTCCGGCTGTCAGCGTGGGAACCCTGTTTCATTCATTCCGAAGCGCCGAATTTTAGGACGGCGAGAACAATACAGACAAAAATGAAACTAGATCTCCGACAGACAGAGGCTTAAGACTCAGCAGACGTCCATGAAGGGAATGCGGAAGTTGGTGACGTCTCCAAGGAAAGCAAAGTTAATTAAAGTAGCAGTCAGGAGGAGGCTGATTCATTGGGGATGCTTCTCTCTCCTCCCGTTTGTATCAGACACTGAAACGAATTTACAGATGATTTACACTTGTAAAACGTGAAAAACAAAACAGGAGCCAGGAGGACGAAGGGCATGTTTCTGGTAACTTCGACACACCTGGCCCACAAGCAAACTGGGGTTTGGTTTTATTAGAATACCATAAGACAGTTGTCCTGTTGGAAAACAATTGTGTTGACACCCTGGTTCTCCTTTGAAAATACTGTATGAATTAAGAGGATGGAAAATATACTGTTTTTTGTGGTGGAATTTCTGTCAAGACTCACTTGCTTCTCTTTAAAGGTAAATGTAATAGCTAAACAAAAAAGTCCAGAAGAATTTTTGTAAATAAAGTTTACAGTGAGTGCCATTTAGGAACATAGAGGATTAATTTTAATCTTAAAAGTCAGCTGAAGAGAGACACTTACTGAAGGGGAGTAGGCAGTGGATCACTCAGACTTTTTTTTTTTTTCCTTCCTGAAGTCCGCTGCTGAGTTTTGCGGTCTCTTCAGCCAGGCAGGCGCCAGAGAGCACATTTCCCAGAATTGGAGAAGCTGGGTAAGAGGTTCTCTCTGGAAGATTCTGAGATCTCGTCTGGATGATTGATTGCTCTGATAAACCGGATTAGGAGAAACTGGGATTAACTAGGGACAGCGTGCTAATAGTTTATCAGTTGTGTAAATTATTCACCAGTAATAGGTAGATGTAACAAAGCTGGTCTGGTGGCATCGTTAGGAAGAGAACCATGGCCATTCAAAGAAAAGGTGGGTAATGGTTTTCATCTGCTGAATCACCGAGAAAACTCCATGGCTTTGGGTGTTTCCTGTTGAAGAACAAGGAGGAGACCTAAGGAGTTAGTCTAGAAACTTTAGGAGCTAGAGCAGGCCCACTCGTGAGCCCCAGATATCATCCAGGCTTATTCTAAAAATAAGTTACAACTTTTGTGTGTTGATGAGGCCGTACAAAGTTGTATAATTTAAAGACATTGTGAGAAAATGAGGGGCTGAGGGAATAAAATGAAGGCACAAAAAGCCTCTGTGTGTGTGTGTGTGTGTGTGTGTGTATGTGTGTGCGCGCGCGTGCGCGCGCCCCAGGCCTGGGGCTTGAACTCAGGGCCTGGGCGCTGGCCCTAGGCTTTTTTTACTCAAGGCTGGCACTCTACTACTTGAGCCACGCTCCATTTCTGGCCTTTTGATGGACAATTGGAAATGAGCATTGCATGGACTGTTTTGCCCTAGTTGGCTTCGGATTGCGATCCCCACATCTCAGCAGCTAGGATTACAGGCGCGATCCCCAGATCTCAGCCTCCAGAGCAGCTAGGATTACGGGCGTGTGCCACCAAGGGCCGGGTTTAAACCTTTTATTTTTACGCTATCAGTTTTAAATCCGTTCTACAGCTCCATTTAAACAAAAAGGGCCCCGGGGCAATGAACGCGGGGTCGAGTGGGCCGGGCGGGCCTTCGGGAGCGCCCCAACCCTCGGTTGTTTACATTGGTTTCCCGGGAAACAGCAACTTCCGGAGAAGGCGTTCTGAGGGCGGGGCCTGTCAGCTTAGGCTCCTCTCATTGGTTCCTCTCTGAGGTTCCATCCTTTCCCCCCGAGCCCGCCTCCTCGCGGACGGACCAATCGGATCCCGAGTTATGGTTTAAACCGCGTGTGCGCGGGGCCGGGGGGTTGCGGCGTCCTGGAGTTTGGCTGTTGGGGTCGGTTCGGTGAGCTCGGGGCTGGCGTGGGCCGCGGGGAGGCCGGGCCGGGGCCCGCGGCGGTAACAGCGTCCGAGCGCCAGCTCTGGAGTTGGGAGCGGGTCTGAGGACTCAGCCCCTGGGCGAAGCGTCCATTGCCCAAGCTCGGCCTTCGCCCTCTGCTTACCTGTGCGTGTGTGTGGGGGGGGGAAGGGGAGGGAAGGGAAGGGGGGGTGGGGGGGAGGAAATGGGGGAGGGGGGTTAGCTTGTTTTGTGCTGGTCCTGGGGCTCGAACTCTTGGCCTGGGCGCTGTCCCTGAGCTTTTGCCCAAGGCCGGGCTGGGGCTCGAACTCGAGGCCTGGGCGCTGTCCCTGAGCTTTTGCCCAAGGCCGGGGCTGGGACTCGAACTCGGGGCCTGGGCGTTTGTCCCTCAGCTTTTCTGCCCAAGGCTTGGAGCTCTACCACTTGAGCCGCAGCTCCCACCACTGCCGGCTTTCTTGGTAACTTACTGGAGATCAGAGTCTCAGGAACTGGGCCTACCTGGGGCTGGCTTCGAACCAGGATCCTCAGATCTCACCCTCTCCCAAGGAGCATGAGCCAGTGGTGCCCGGTCTCGATGTTTTGTGTGCGCACCTCCCCTGATGGGAAGGTTTTTGATTTGTGGCCTCCTGAACCTTTCATTTCTCTGTCTTTCCCCCCAGTCTCCAGCATCTCACATACAAGGCCCAATCCCTAGAAATCCAGGATGGCGACTCTGATCTTTGTTGACAAGGAGAATGGACAGCCAGGCACCCGTATGGCTCCTAAGGAGGGGCTGAAGCTGGGGTCCAGGCCTGGTAAGTGTGCTGGGCTTGCTCACCTTGCTCAGGTACTGGGAATGAACCAGGTGGGTGTGGTCCCGAGCCCTGCCCAGCCTTTTAGGTGGGATTCCTGGGCTATTAGAGTCAGCTTTGTGGAACTTTTCTAGGTCAGTTTTATAAGGTGGTGGTTAAGGAACTGAAGCCCAGGGCTGTTAGGGAAGTGAAGGCTCTGCCACTGGCCTAAAGTGAGGGTCAGGTTGGGGAGGGGGGGCGGGGATTAAACTGATAGACACAAGCAGCATTAGCATTAATGATAGAGGCGTGTATTCTAACATTCTCACGGTAGAATTTTACTTACTCTTCAGTCAAAGCCTTAGAAGGGAGAACGCAGGTTTCAACACCACGCATTGGGAAGGTCTTCAATGCTCCATCGGCCTTACCTAAAACTGCCCGGAAAGCCTTGGGAACGGTTAACCGGGCCACAGAGAAGCCAGGGAAGACTAACGGACCCCTCAAACAAAAGCAGCTGAGCTTCTCTGGCAAAAAGGTGAGTGTGGGCTGTAACGTGCTGGCTAAAAAACATTTGTGTGCTTTTTTGTGTATGTATATGTGCTGGTAATGGGGTTTGAACTCTGGGCCTGTGTTTTTGCTCAGCTAACTTGTTGGCTCTGCTAGTGCTCTACAATCGTGAGCCATGCCTCTAGTCTATGTATGTGCTGGTTTTGTTTTTGTGTTTCTTTTGGAGGTGGATGCTCTCAATCTTCTGCCTGCCTATTCTGGCTTTGAACCGATATCCTCAGCTAAGGTTACAGGCCCACTTTGGATATTTATTTATTTATTTTGGCCAGTCCTGAGGTTTGAACTCGGGGCCTGGGCACTGTCTCTGAGCTTCTTTTGCTCAAGGCTAGCATTCTACCACTTAAGCCACAGCACTACTTCTGGCATTTTCTGTGTATGTGTACTGAGGAATGGCACCCAGGGCTTCATGCATGCTAGACAAGCTCTCTATCACTAAGCCACATTCCCAGCCCCACTTTTGACTTTAAATTACTGTTGGCATCCTATTGCTTTCTTGCCTTTGACTAGAAGGGAAGTAGAGGTTGGGGGAGTCATACTGCTTGAAACTGAAGGTCTTAAGCTGGGTGCTGGTGGCTCACGCCTGTAATCCTAACACTCAGACTGAGATCTGAGGATCCCGGTTCAAAGCCAGCCCAGGCAGGAAAATCTGTGAGACTCAACCTCCAATAAACCACCAGAAAACTGGAAGTGGCACTGTGGCTCAAGTGGTAGAGCACTAGCCTTAAGCTAAAGAGGTGAGGGACAGGGCCCAGATGCCAGAGTTCAAGCCCCACAACCGACCCCCCCCCCCAAAACAAACAAACAAAAAAACCAAAAAACTCTGGTTTTCTTGTCTCTTTTTGGTTGGTAATGGGGTTTGAACTCAGGGCCTGGGTGTTGTCCCTAAGCTCTTTTGCTCATTGAGCCATAGATCCACTTCTGGTTTTTGAGTAGTTAATTGGAGGAGATAAGAGTCTCACCAGTTTGAGTCTGGCCTGGTTTCAGACTTAGATCCTTAGATCTCAGCTTCCTGAGTAGTTAGGATTCCAGGCTTGAGCCACTTGTGCCTGATTTAACCCCATATTTGAGGAATATAAACTTGTTAATATTATCTAGTGAATGATTAAGGTAAGTGGTGGAAAGTCAGGTCTTTAAGCCAAAGCTGGCTTTGATGAGCTATTCTGGGTGTTTCTTGGTTATTTCAGTCAGGTTTGAACAATTGAGTTGATTAGCTCTGATTTCTCAATCTGCATAGCCTATGCTTCCAGGTGCTGAAACGTAAATTTTCCTGAGAGTTGTTCTGCTAGAATTTTTATTTGATTTGTTTGGAGTTCCTTTTAGATGTAATCATTAAAACTGAGAAATTGGCTTCTTAGACTTATGAGCATGATGCTGGTGGTTCACCCCTGTAATCCTAGCTACTCATGAGGCTGAGATCTGAGGCCAGAGTTCAAGCCCCATGACTGACCAAAAAAAAAATATTCACAGAATTTACAACATGATACAAGTCATGTATAGAGAGGCCCTGCGTACAGTCTGTGCATGTTTCAGACTTTCCTTCTCACTGATTTGTTTTTCTTGGACTGTTCTAGATTACTGAGAAGACTGTGAAAGCATCAAGCTCTGTTCCTGCCTCTGATGACACCTACCCAGAAATAGAAAAATTCATCCCCTTCAACCCTCTAGGTGGGGCTTGAACATAGGGCCTGGGTAGTGTCCCCGAGTTCGTTTTGCTATAAAGCTAGCACTCTACCATTTTGAGCCACAGCACCACTTCTGATTTTTAATTGGAGATAAGGGTTGCATGGACTTTTCCTGCCTGGGCTGGCTTTGTACTGTAATCCTCAGATCTCAGCCTCCTGAGTAGCTTGGATTATAGGCATGAGCCACTGGTGCCAGGCTGCCTTTACTTTTTTTTTTTTCCCGGTCACTCGTGGGGTTTGAACTCTGGGCCTAGGTGCTGTCCCTCAGCTCTTTAGCTTAAGGCTAGCGCTCTACCACTTGAGCCACAGCACCACTTCCAGCTTTTTCTGCTTATGTGGTGCTGAGGAATCGAACCCAGGGCCTCATGTATACAAGGCAAGCCCTCTATCACTGAGCCACCTTCCCAGCCCCTGCCTGTACTTTTAATAATCAAGTTTTCCAAGCCAGAAAATTGAGTGGCCAGACTGGCGTGGCTTATATTTATGAATTTGACTAATCTAAGAAATAGATCCTTGTTGGATTTTGTGCTGGATCTGGGTGAGTTTTGGTTGAAGCAAATGAAGAAAATCTGGCTGAAAGCAATCTTAGTCCTTTTCTCACTAGCACTCAGCGGTGGCTGTGTCTGCTGGTGTAGCTGGAGTATGGAATCTGAGACCCCGTCCGTGAGCCTTGTTCCCTGCTGGGAGTGGTCCCTGGTTGACTTTCCCATGTGGTATTCCCGTTGATCACGCACTGATGGCTTTGAAATACTGGTTCATTGCATCCGGGTGTTCCGATGGTGCTTTGCCTTTGTGACAGATTTTGAGAGTTTCGACCTGCCTGAAGAACACCAGATTGCACGCCTCCCCCTGAGTGGGGTGCCGCTCATGGTCCTGGACGAGGAGCAGGGACTTGAGACGCTGTTGGAGTTGGGTCCCCCTTCACCGATGAAGATGCCACCTCCGACATGGGAATCTGGTAAGCGCCCCCGGGAGGACGGGGGCAGCTTGGCCCTGTGGGGGACATGTGTGTGCACGCGGGCTGGCGCGAGTCCTCTCTCTCCTTTGACCTACCTACAGGGCAGAGTTTCAGAATAAGTAAAATTTGCCTGTCATCCTAGCTACTCAGGAGGCTGAGATCTGAGGATCGTGGTTCGAGGCCAACCCAAGCACCCTAATTAACCACCAAAAGAAGCCACAAGTGGCACTGTGGCTCCAAGTGGTAGAGCACTAGCCTTGAGCAAGAGCTCAGGGACAGGGACTAGGCCCCAAGTTCAAACCCCATACCTGTCACACACACACACACACACACACAGACAGACTCGCGCACACGCACAAACACAAAACACCCCCCCACAAAACCCTCCTGATTTAGTCCCTAATGCCCTTGGGAAATGAAGTTCTGAAATCTGGTCACTCAGCGTACAGCTTGGTCGGCTGTAAGTTGAAGGTCTGAAATGAACTTGGCAGACCCCTGGGCTGCAGCATTTGACAGGAACTGGTGGTCTGAGGGCACAGAATGTTTTTTTTTCTTTTTTTTGTTGGGTTATGGGGCTTGAACTCTGGACCTGGGTGCTCTGTCCCTGTGCTTTTGAGCTCAAGGTGAGTGTTCTACCACTTGCCACAGCACCACTTCCAGTTTTTTTTTTTCTTCTGGTGGTTAGTTGGAGATAAGAATCTCAGACTTTTTGACCAGGCTGGCTTTGAACCGTGATCCTCAGATCTCAGCCTCCTGAGTAGCTAGGATTACAGTCATGAGCCATCGATGCTCAGCTTAGGATTGGGTATTTTTAAGACTTGTTTCCTGAGGGTCAATTCCTGGAGCCACAGCCACAATTGAAGAGCTCTGAGGGGTTGGGGTAGAAATTGGATGAAGGGGAAAACCCCCCCCTGAATTTTGGATTAATGTCTGTTGCACTTTAGAAATCTAACGAGCACGTCTCCTCTCCTCTCCGTGTCTCCTCTCCTCTCTGTAGACGGGCTGCAATCTCCCTCCAGCATTCTCTCCTGCCTGGATGTCCAGCTGCCTCCTGTGTGCTATGACCTGGATATTTAACGTTCTTACTGCATTATGGTTTGCGTGTGCGTGTTAATAAAGTTTTTTTGTTTAGAAGCGTCTGTATAACACTCAGATGAGAAAACAGTATGAAAACTGCGGTACTTAACAGACCAGAATCTATTCTGACAGTAGAAGGGACTTGTCTGGTTTAAGTTACCTTAAACCCTACAATTTGTTTTCACAGCGCACTTTACAAGCCTTCTGTTTCCTCAGAAAAGAATCGCCTTCAGTGTGCACTTTATTGCCTTTCAATGGCCATTGACGAGTGACAGTTATTAGATCTGTTAATTAGAAGAGCCACTTCCAGCTCATTAAGTATTGCTAGGCATCCTTTATTGCTGGCTCTATTTAGTTTCTAATGACTTTAATACTCAGTACTCAGTAATTAGGATTTGAAAGGCTCTAAATCTTGTGAGAACTCAATCTCTTTGGAATCTTCTATTTGGTTCCCTGAAGATCAGGCAGATACAGATACTCATGGTGGTAGGCCCTCCCACCGCTAGGGGCCGCTGTGGAAACTTTCTCATATTGGCACTGAGAATTGGAGCACTATAGTATTAGAGCTTTGACTTCGCGAAGGGCAGAAGAGCTGAGCCAGCTCATTGCCAAACTGCCAGCTAGTGCCTAGGAGACAGGCCCCCCAGATTTCAAGCCCCCTGGAGGATGGGGTTTGAGGGTGTTTATGTGGTCAGTGTACAGAGTGATCTGCCGTGTGGGTGAGGGCTAAGCAGCAGAGCCAGATAAAGCGCGAGATCTGAATTTTCCTCCCTCTGACGTGCAGAGGCTGCCTGTGGGTGTTTGTGGACAGTGGGGTTGGTGGTCAGTGGGTTGGAGGTAGGCCCGTGGCCTCCAGGTTCCCGGTCAGCACTCAAGGGAATGGCTGCCCAGGGCCCAGGCATGATCTATCCAGCCCACGCTCATGGGCAGTGCTGTGTTGCTATAGCAACCCCTAAAATGAGTAATACAATTAAATGATGCTCTGGAGGGCTTTTAGGTTTTGTTTGGATTACAAATCTGAAGTTGGAATCAAGAGATTGCAGGGCTGGAGGCATGGTTCAAGTGGTAGAGCACCAGCTGTGAGAAGAGTATTAGGCTTTGATGAGCAACGCTCTTGACTGCTTGTTTGCTTCTACCCTGCTGCTTTCTGTCCATTCTTTACCATTGGCCAGCTTGTTTGTTACTGGGACTTGAACTTGGGGCTTTGAGCACTTGGCCTAGCCTGTTCTGTTCCAAACTGGCGCTCTACCGCTTGAGCCAGAGCTTCGCAACCAGCTTTTTGCTGATTAACTGAAAATGAGACTCACAAGGACTTTGCTGCCCAGGATGGCTTTGCACCTCCACCTCAGATCCTAAGCAGTCAGGATTGCGGACGTGAGCCACCAGCATCTGCCTTTAAAGCTCGATTTTGCGCTCAGTCCTCTGCTTTCCAGCTTCTGGCAACGATACCACCCCGCCACGAGGGGGCGCCCCAGCCCTTTTGCCTCTTGGCAGCTGCTCACAGGCTCAACTGGAACCTGTCTCTGAGCCCTCATGGTGGCCACTTGCGGCCTGGCATCTTTAGGATGTGGAAGCTTCTGAGGAAAGTCCTGATCGTATCAAACTCAGGACCCGTTTACTGAGACATCTAAATAAAACTGGGATGGCAGGAGCCACGGCCGAAGCGTTGCCAGCACCGCCTGGTATTTACAGGGCTGTCATTTCTTGTCAGATCTCAGCGAGGTGCTGCCCTCCAATGCAATCTCAGCCATCCACGCCTGCGGGCCTGCAGCATCGGGCTGTGATTGGTCCTGGGAACAGGGCTTGCATGTAGGGCGGGGAAGCATGGGCTTTCTACTGGACGGGGACTCGGCCCAATCACACGCACACACCGCTTTCTGCAGCAGGTATTTTGTGTGTGGTTGGAGTCCCGGATTTGGTCTGGACAGCTGCTCCTGCAGGGCTCCTGCAGGCCAAGTCCTGGTTGGCTGTAGCCTGCTGTGCTGCCAGAGGCCCTGGTTTGTAGCTGCAGTCCAGCCGTAGACTAGCTGGTGGACTAAGGAATCCCATGCGTGGTAGGTCTTGGAATCCATTCTCATCCTGGGAACTGTCTGATGGGAGCAATCTTCCTGTGTTTTGCTTTGTTTGGTTCTGAGCTCAACTCTACTCCATCACTGGCCTGAGGGATTGTCCTGAGCTTTCCCGACATTCCTCTTAACGACCCTCACCTGTGAACCACAGGCATTGGTACTTACCCTTCCCTGCCAAGGACAGGCTAGAAGGAAGCCAGTGTCCATCCCTCCACCAGGCTCCTGAGGCCCGGTGCTGAGTCCCAGCATGTCCACCAGGGGGCGGCAGAGCCTTTCCACAGATCCAGGCTGCAGGCAAGGTGGCTCCCGGGTCCCCTTGGCATTGCAGTGACCTCTGCCAGCGGCCCCTGAGGTCCCCGGGTGGGGTGCTGTGGGGTGAGGGGGCAGCGCGGAGTGCAGAGAGAAGTCACAGCTTGGAGCTGCGTGGTCGAGGCTTTTCCAGGTTTTGTTGCTGGGTTACTTGCGTGCCAGGGAGCCATGGTGGCTTTGCTTTATTCCCATTGGAGTTGTTTCAGAGCTTTTTTTTTTTTGGGGGGGGGGGGTCCGGTCGTGGGGCCTGAACTCTGGGCCTGGGCGCTGTCCCTCAGCTCTTCAGCTCAAGGCTAGCGCTCTACCACTTGAGCCACAGTGCCACTTCCGGCTTTTTCTTTTTGCTTATGTGGTGCTGAGGAATTGAACCCAGGGCCTCAGGCAAGCAAGGCAAGAGCTCTACCAGGGAGCCACCTTCCAAGCCCCTCGGAGCTTCTTGATAGATGAGCTGGGATTAGGTTTTGTGCAGTGGTTTTCTTTTTTTTCATTCGTGGTTCATTGGAGATAAGAGTCTCAGGGACTTTCCTGTCCTGAACCTCGATCCTCAGATCTCAGCCTCCTGATTCTAGTTTTCTTTAAATATACCTACGTGTTTGTGTGCAGGTGTGCGTGCGTGCGTGTGCGTGTGTGTACGTGCATGCGCTCAGGCACATATATTTGTACGTATTTATGTGGAAACTTCATAAATAGGAAGGTTATGTCACTCGATGTAATTAGATACCAACCATAACAAAACAGAATATTCCAGACTTTCCATTACCAATACTGCTGCTCACCCGAGGTCCACAGTCTGTGTTAAAGGGAGTTTAACAAGGGTTACAGCCGTGCACACAGCCTCTTCAAAGTCAGCAGCAGCAATAAAAAGAAATGACTGTTTTCTGTCGGTTATGGGGTTTGAACTCGAGGCCTGAACACTGTCCTTAAGCTTTTGTTGCTCAAAGCTAGAACTCTCCCACTTTGAACCACAGCTCCAGCTCCGGTTTTCAGATGGGTTAGTTGGAGATAAGCATCTCACTCCTGACGTGGGCTGACTTTGAACCTCGATACCCAGATCTCAGACACCTGAGAGAGTAGCTAGGATTACAGGCGTGAGCCACCAGCACCTGCCTATGAAATAATAGAGCCGGCGCTGGTGCTCACGCCTGTCATCCTAGCTACTCAGGAGGCTCAGATCCGAAGATCACAGTTCAAAGCCAGCCCGGGCAGGAAAGTCCTTGAGACTCACGTCCAGTGAACCATCGGAAATGGAGCTATAGCTCAAAGTGGCAGAGCTCTAGCCTTGAGTGAGAATGTTCAGGGACAGCACCCAGGCCCTGAACACAAAAGATGAAGCGAACCCCCAAATCCCCCCATCATTCACCCACATTCTGATTCTGCTTATCCAAATATCCGCTTCCAGCCTGGACTTCCCCCTACTGCCTTGACTTAGTAATTTCTGGAACCTTCTACTTCCACCTCCATCACATGAGACTTGAGAGTTGCATGTAATGAGGGGGAAGTGGGGGGGGGCGAGAAGTAAAACAGTAGGCCGAGCTGTCTTGCGCTCCCCACCCCACAAACTTCGGGGCGATGTGATATTCCTAAGCACGAGTTCTAGTTGGAGCAGCCTTGGGGCTGTGGGCTGGTGCTAAGGTCCTGTGGCGGCTGAGGATGACTTGGCATTGAACTTACAAACGTCTCTCTCCGTCCCAGCAGAGCTGCCGTGGCGGGCTGTGTGTGGGAGGTCTTTGTTGGTTGAGGAGGAGGTAAAAGGAGGAACCCACAGCACGTGACTCTGGCAGAGCTGAAATTAAAAAAAATCCAAGTGAGAAAGCGGATAGAAAAGCAAAGTCATGATTTCAAACCAAAACGCCGCCGGGGGCTGACTGGAGGCAGCAGCCCCGAGAGGCCACGCACCTAACCTACCTTGTCCTGCTGCCAGCCCTCCCTCCCACCCCTGCCTGGGTCCACAGTGTGTCCAGGCCTTTCCGGCCTTTCTTTTCTGTGTGGATCCCGGGGCTTGAACTCAGGGCTTGGAGGCTGTCCTTGAGCCTTTTTTATATCTTCCTTTGTGTGGTTAAATCGGCCTGGCTTCAAACTGGGATCCTCACATCTCAGCCTCCAGAGTAGGCCTTTGCTTTCATATTTATTTTTTTTTCTTTATTGGTCATGGGGCTTGAACTCTGGGCCTGGGCGCTGTCCCTCAGCTCTTCAGCTCAAAGCGAGCGCTCTACCACGTGAGCCACAGCGCCATTTCTGGTTTTCTGAGTGGCTTATTGGAGATCAGAGTCTCATGGACTTTTCTGCCCGGGCTGGCTTTGAACCATGATCCTCACATCTCAGCCTCCTGAGTAGCTAGGATGACAGGCGTGAGCCACTGACACCTACCCTCTTTCTTTTCTTTTCTCCTTTGTACCTGGGCTTAAACTCAGGGCCTTACTCTACCGCTTGAGCCACACCTTCCTTCCACCCTTTTGCTGGTTGCTTGGAGATAAGAGTCCCTCTGATTTGTCTGCCTGGGCTGCCTTTGAACCTTGATTCTCACCTCTCAGCCTCCTGCGTGGCTGGCGTGACAGGCATGAACCACCTGCACTTGGCCAGGAGGTGGCCCTTCCCTTCCAGCTGAAGGGAAGCGGGGACCCTGGGACCATTACCATTCTGACCATGTGCTGCGGAGGGCGGTGTTTTGTTTATTTAAATAG